ATGATAGAGACGTTGGTGAGCAGGTAATGCAGGAAATAAAGAGAAGTAGTGGTCGGAAGCCGAGGGAAGAATCACGTGCACGGCGCTGTGGCAACTGCGGAGAGACTGGTCATAATACGCGCACCTGTAATATTATAGAGGAAGTATCTGAGGAAGAAATTTCTGAATAGTGTTTTTTAATTAGAGGCGTTGTGGTAGAGTTCTTACAATTTCAATCGCGAGTGTAGAAAATTCTGGCCGGTTCGCTTGTTTGGCCGGTTCGCTATACATGCACGTTAGGTAAATATATATAATTACTTTAAGAAATTTCTTCTTTACTAGTAGTTTATTAATATTAGGAATACTTAGATAGTCTATCTAGTTATATATATTATTTTATTCTTAAACCTACTTAGCTAAATTAATATTCTAGTTTTTAATAAATATAAAGACTTAAAGATAATCTTATTAGGCTTAGATCTTTTAGATCTCTAGAGTAGGTCTTAAGATAAATACTAGCTCTTAAATTATAGACTAAGTTATATACTATCTATTTCTATTATAGTACCCTAGGGTTATTATTATATTAAAGTATTAATATAACTTTATATCTATAGTAGTAGAAATAAATTAATTAATTTCTTTAATAAATTTTTAAGTATCTTAGTACTCTTCTTCTTCTAGTTTATACTAGTTTTAGATTAGTATAAATAAATATAATATATTCTTAATTAAAGTAACCTTTAGAATTAGTAAGTAATCTAGTATTAGTTTATACTTATAGATAAAATAAGTATTATTCTCTTATTTTTTAATAGATTTAGTATACTTCTAGTATATTAGAAGTTACTTAAACTTATAAAGGTCTTTACTTTACTACCATATCTTTAATATAAGAGATAGGCTTATAAATCTTATAGTTTAGAGTATTAAAAGTATTAAGGTTAACTAGTGTGACGGAGCTGGATTTCATTTGACAGGATTTCATTCGCTTGGCCAAGCACGTGACGAGACTTGGCATTGGAACAACTTAAATAACTTCGCTCCTTTCAGATTCTCTTCTCTCTTTAGTTTGATTTCTTCGTACCTACGGTTTTAGTTCTAGCAATTGATTCAAAAGCTGTATACACTTTATCCTTTGTTGGCATCCGTGACAACTAGGTACTAAATAAGTTTAAAGCTTATAAGTTACTTAAGTATAGAGTATTATAGGTTCTAGTCTTTACTTAAATAAAGCTTTAGATAAAAAGAAGATAATATATTAATATAAGTTGTACTATAATAATTAAATTAAGAGAAAAGAGAATCTTATTATAGATTTAAATTTAGTATTGTAAAAGTAATATTTAATATTTACTAAAATATAATAAAAGGTCGAATTAAAGTTTCAGATTAAACTTTAGGTACTAGACTAGGCTTATAACTATAAGTTACCTTATAGTTAGCTAATTATTGTGACGGTTCTAACCGTCACCACCATTCGGATCACGTGGTCTCGCTTAGCGACCCACACCAAGTATTTAGATCGAAGCTCTCTCGAGCTCTCCTCTTCTCCTCAGCTTAGAATCTTTGTTTAATTGACAGTTCTACGATTCCACAACCTACACCGTGGGCCTTGCGTACGTGTCGTCACAATTATAATAGGAATTATAATAAGTTCTAAGAGTATAAAGGAGAGAGTAAAGTAATTATAAAAGAAGTAGTTATATTAAGTTAAAAGCTTACTTAATCATATAGGAGGGAGCACAAGTTTATATAGTACTAGCGCGTATATCCCTCGGCTAATACCTGAAAGAGCTCCGCCACAAAGGAAGTGGAGCGCCCCTCGTGACCTGCCACGTGACAGTTATTTAACCTGAACAGTGCTTTTTCTAAAGGAGAGATAGACAAGGTAAGGTGGTCAAATTATCAAATATCGCTGTTTCATTCTTTTTACTTATTAGCCATTCATTTATCCTTTATATAGCCCCTGGAATCACATTTGAAGGAAGCTTGTCGACTTCCTAACCCAGAAAAAGTAGCTCACTCAACTAACCGACCAGGAATCGAAACATAAATCGAAAAGACTTCAACCACCTTCTAAAATGTCGTCTATCCAATATCATCTTCACGCCATTGCATCTTTCCTACTATCGACCAAAGATATTCGACAAGGATAACCGTCAGCAGGATGCGTCCCCGCCTTCTCAGTCTGATACGCCCTATCTCCATTAACAGTCCTTACCGGCTCTCCTAAGACCCTCGTCTTGGTACGAGACAAAAGACCCATGTCTCGCTTCTTAATCTTGTCCCACTCCTCATAAGCAGGTCTAATATCGAATGTCCTCGTAGTCATGATCATGACCGTTCTAATCTCATTATATACCAAAGTCTGCCCGATATAATTCCTTGGTCCTTGTTCGAAGGGCCGGAACGCGCCAGGGTTGTGATATAGCTCGTGTCTAACATCTACTATGAAACGTTCCGGTAGGAATTTCTCGGGATAAGGCCAGACACGGGGGATACTGTGAACAGCTTGGTGGAGAACAGTTGTTCCTATGTAGTCCATTGGGTAGCTGTTTCCGTGACGGCCGTGAAGTGTGACACCCGCCTGGCCGGAGCGCATGGTTCCTGCTGGGGGGTAGAGACGGAGTGTTTCTTTGATTACGGCGAGTGTGTATGAACACTTATTCAGCAAAGCGGGTTGATCTTTTAGCATTTTCGCGGCGTGGCTGGTATCTGTTCCGAATACATCATCGTGTTCTTTTCGCAGTAAAGCCAGTGCCTCCGGATTCTGAGACAGAAGATGGTATACATATACAATGGTCGAAGACGTGGTGTCGTTGCCTGCAAAGAGAAATAGTCTGATCTGGTAGACAACATATTGTGAAAAACTGTCTTCGATTTCTGACTGCTGTAAGAGGTTTCTGCTTTTGTTTTCTTGGATGTAAGCTTCGATAGCTAGAGTCACAACAGATTTGGTGGCATTGGACTGCCTTAAAACGTCACTGTTGAATTTTCCCTCTTGCATGTCTCGGAATCGTTGGTTCAGCTCTTTTCGGATGTAATTCTTCATTACCCAGCCGTAGTACGTCTGAATGAATGGCCGAAGCGGGTGCATAAGAATGCGTAGATCCCAGAAGGAATGCAATCTTGTTATGTATCCTAACGCAGTTGCAAGTTCATTCTCGGAGCGTTGATAATCCAGATCCGCATCTCTGAAAAGATATATATTAGCCAGAAAATTGGTGAGGGGATATGAGATAACTTACAAAGTTACCTTGATAATAACGTCCATAGTCAATCTCGTCGTCATACTGTCAAGTTCAACCAATCCTTTACCCGACTGTTCCTTTAGTTTATCACAGAAAACCTGAATTGGATTCACGATGTGAGGTACGCTGTCCATGAGGGCGCCTGAACTGAATCCAGGATTGAATAGCGACCTCCAATTCTTCCACTCTTCACCACCCATTGAGAGGAGATTTGGTCCTCCAGTGATAGGTTCCATAAACTGCAGATGCATATCGGTTTTTGGCAAGTTATATTTGGTTGATATCTGAATGGAAGTGTCTGGGTCGTATACCATGGGGAGCGGCGGGTATACAGGCCAAAAATCCATCAAGAACACCTCGGTGTCTGAGAATTCACGGGCCAGATCGAGCATGGCGAGGTTGACATTTGCATCTGGTGGGAGGCGATCAACGTATTTTGGGAGGGTGAGGAGATGGCCTGTAAACCAGCTCCATCCTTCAGGCATTGGCTGGTTGGCTTGTTAGATTGTGTTCAGTGGCGGATGGTATGCCTTTTGAAAATGTGATTGTAACTGGTTGGAGTAACACAAGACCAACTCCAACATACCAACAACTCTGAAGTAGAAATCTGGAGATCCATTACCAAATACTACGCTGACGTTGATCCTAGTCCCTGATTTAGCCCAGAAACTAGATTCAAGTAATGTGAACCCTCCCACTTTCTGTAGCGACAAAACCTCCCTTCTACTTCTACATACTGTAAATAACACTTCTGAACTCGTGGTTTTAACTACGAAAATACTACATATCGAATGGAAGCAACCGAGTATGGTCCAAAAGCAGAACAGGTCCTCAACTTGATATGTAGTTAAAGGAACACCTGAATCATTCTCTGATTACTTACCTGAGAACAACGGCCTTTCATTTCTCCAACATCCTTCCCATCTAAACCCTCCCCCAAAAGTCGACAAGAGTAAAGTATTTGACAGCAACTTCAACCCACTTCCATACAGTGGTTTCATCAAAGCCCACAAACCGGCTTGAAATACGAATGGTAACAAAGTAAATATTGACAAGGGATATTTCGGTAGAATATGAGAAGGATGAATGATAGAGCAGCAAAGCCGGGCGACTCCTTGGATACTTCGACTTGATCGTGGCATTGTTGCAACCGTTTAAATTCAAACCAGTCTTACTTGGCTAGAAAGTGACTGTGAACACGATTTATACTAATTAAAGTACAAGATTTAAGAAGTTTGTCGCCGTAAGATACGAGAGCCCTGAAGAGGGCTCCTGTTGGTTTAGGGGGGTCGGAGTATTGGGTAAGATTTGCAAGCGCGCATTGCCACGGGTTGTTTGTCGACGTCGGGAATGTTGTTAGAAGAACAGATGTATGGATCTCTTGAGTCTTTCGACGTAGTACAAACAGATATAATAGCCACCGCCACCACGAAAAGTTTGCCAAGTCCCATCTTCACGATTTGGTGCAATGTCGTTCTGTTTGGCGACTTCAAAATAAAAATTAACACGACAAAAGGTATAGAAAGATGAATGAACGCTCCTTGATTCTTCTGAAACCTGTGAGGAGATAGCACTCTCTTTATACCCTGGATTATCCTAATTTCATTATAACAGCGAAATAAATTCAAGTAGTTGAGTTGAGTAGTGGCACCTACCCATCTCAACTAAAGGGGGTTTTAGCCCTACTAAACTTATACTTAAGTACTTGGCGCCAAGTACTTAACGACTAAGATACTAATTGTTACAAATTGAGTATAGGGAATCGGTCACTTGCGATTCTCCCACGTGACCTACCACATTTCCACTTAAATACCAGAGTTTTTCTCGTCTAATCTAAGCTCGTTTTTTTAATCCGATTTAATTACTAATCTATACATAATACTAAATAAGTGGTTCGAAGTTTAGCCGGGCTAAGTTATTATAATAAAGTACTCTATAATAGTTATTCGCTTGCTGCTTTACTCGTCTGCTTTTGAACCTTACGAACCTTATAGTACCCCGCACCCGCACCTTAAGCGGGGATAAGAACATGAAATATGACCACAGAGAACCGATCAAGAATCAATCACAAGATACAGGTTTGACGAGTTTCCATCGCTGTGCCAATGTTGTTTTGCCACAAAATTTAATCTCGTTACTCTCCTTGGAAAAAGCAATCCAAGGCGCATCGATAAGAACATGGCGACGGGCCACCGGCCGCAGGTTCGGAAATCTCGCGCCGACGGCGAGCGTGAGGGTTTGAAGCGCCGCTTACAGTACGAGTACTGTACATAGATATGTAAAATCGCGATGGGCTGGGAAAAAAGAAACAAAATAAAATAGACACGTAACGCTTGATTTGTGTTTTTGAATTTTTTGCTTTTTGTATGTTATCGGGTCAGACGAGTCAAAACCGCAAAACACATCTCATAATATTGCTACAGAACTAGGGATGAGCGAATACTCAAGTAGGTTCTTAAATTTTGGCGAGATTTCCTACTCATTGTTCTTTACTAATTCGATGTGTATGATCAGATTCAGAAGGCAAATCGCCCCTTACAATTGAAGATTGGAAGCTTGCACAAGCGACGGGCAATCAATTATCACGACTTCTCAATCATCTCGAATCGCTTGATTCTTCCGATATTGCATGGATCTCACTCGTGCCTAAGGACCATATTCAGCTGCAATGGGAAAGTATCGAACTTTTCAAAGACCAAGGCCATTCCCTTCCGTTGTACGGAGTTCCCTTTGCCGTCAAGGACAACATTGATGTTGCTGGTCTACCAACAACTGCTGCTTGTCCTGACTTTGCGTATACACCGAAAAAGGATGCTTCCGTGGTTCGAACTCTTCAACGAGCTGGTGCGATCGTGATAGGAAAGACAAATCTCGATGCCTTCGCCACTGGACTAGTTGGAACTCGGTCGCCATTCGGTGCAGTTCCTAACACTTTCAACCCAGAATACGTATCAGGTGGCTCAAGCTCAGGTTCTGCTTCTGTGGTGGCTCGTGGATTGGTTCCATTCGCGCTTGGAACCGATACTGCTGGAAGTGGGAGAGTTCCGGCCGGCTTGAATAACATCATTGGTCTTAAAGCTACCCGTGGAGCGATAAGTGCTAGAGGAGTAGTTCCGGCTTGCCGCAGTCTTGATTGTGTGTCTATTATGGCACTGACGTTGAAAGATGCAAGTCTTGTTTTCGATGTGGCTGCTGCTTACGACCCAGAGGATGGTTACTCTCGACACCTGGTCAAAGAAGCTGTGACATTGACCAAAACCCCAAGAATTGCAATCTGCGACAATCCGCCCTGGTTTGGTGGCGACATACACTGTCAGGCGTATCTGGAGGCTCTCAACAAAGCGCAAAGCTTGGGTTGGCAGCTCGAACCGGTTAATTTCTCCACGCTGTTCCAGTTGGCTGCGCTACTTTACGATGGACCCTGGGTAGCAGAACGTTATGCTGCAATAAAAGATTTCATCAACAAGCCCGGTGTCAAGATTGATCCTACCGTTCTCAGTATCATCAAAAAAGCAGAAAATTTCAGCGCGGTCGACTGTTTTGAGAATGAATATCTCAAAATTCATCTAATTCGTTCAATAGAGAATCAGTTCAAAGATTTTGACGCCGTTCTGGTCCCGACATCTCCTACATTTCCAACTTTGGAAGAGGTTAGGAAAGAACCAGTTTTGGAAAACTCAAGACTCGGCCAGTACACGAACTTTGTCAATTTTTTGGACTGGTCAGCACTTTCTGTTCCAGCAGGCTTTCGAATTGATGGATTGCCTTTTGGTTTGACAATCATATCAACGCGCTGGCAGGAGCAAAAATTGCTTCAACTTGGCTCGCAAATGTTGTCAGTAACCTCCCGCCTTTTAGGTGCAACGCGTGTAGACTTTCATGAACAGTCCTTCCTCCTAGATCTGTCACAGAAAACCTCGGATCATTTGTTAGTTGTCGTCGGAGCTCATTTGTCTGGTCTTCCTCTGAATTATCAACTTCACGAAGCAGGTGCAACATTCAAGAGCTCAACAAAAACTGCACCTTCATATCGTCTCTTCGACCTCCCATCTACAAACGGGATTCGGAAACCAGGGCTGAAGAGGGTGTCAGGAGAAAATGAATCTGGAGGCTCTATTGATGTTGAAACCTGGCAAATTTCCGACACAGGTCTTGGGTCTTTAATGAAGCTTGTTCCACACCCACTTGCAGTAGGCTCCGTTGAGATTGTGGACGGAACCTGGTTGAAAGGATTTGTGTGTGAGCCATGCGGATTGGAAGAAGCAGCGGAAATCACCAAATTTGGGGGATGGCGAGCCTACATGAACTCCCTCGAAACCCTGGGGAGCATTTCCACCGAAAGTAATCCGAAATCGCCACCTTTCAAAAGCATCTTGATAGCCAACCGTGGAGAAATTGCTGTCAGGATCATTTCAACATTGAAGAAACTGGGGATTCGCTCGATTGCTATATATTCCTCGGAAGATTCCGGTAGTCAACACGTCCAAGATGCCGATGAAGCGTTTCTACTACAAGGCGATACTCTAGCAGAAACGTATCTTTCCGAAAAAGCAATTCTCAATGTCGCTGAAATCTCCAATTCAGAGGCTGTTATTCCGGGGTATGGCTTCCTGTCAGAGAGTGCAGAGTTTGCGAGTGTCTGTGAGACAAAAGGTTTGATTTGGATTGGGCCAACTCCAGAGCAGATGCAAAAACTAGGTCTCAAACATCTCGCTCGAGACCTTGCTCGAAGTGCTGGGGTTCCTCTGCTTCCTGGAACTAGCTTGGTCTCTGATGTTGAAACTGCCTGCCGAGAAGCAGAGTCAATTGGCTATCCCATTATTGTCAAAAGCTCTGCTGGTGGTGGAGGCATCGGACTACAAAAGTGTAGTTCTCCCAAAGCCCTAGTTGACTCTTTCGAATCCATCCGTCATCTCGGAAATTCTTTTTTCAATGATAACAGAGTCTTCATTGAGAAGTTTGTTGAGAGTGGACGCCATGTAGAGGTACAGATTATTGGTGATGGTAACGGTCGGGTGAAGCATGTCGGAGAGCGTGACTGTTCACTGCAAAGACGAAAACAGAAGGTTATCGAGGAAGGCCCAGCGATCTTCATACCCACAAAGACACGGGAACAAATAAGACAGGCAGCTGTCAACCTTGCTGCCAAAGTCCACTATCGAGGTGTAGGAACGGTGGAGTTCATATATGATCTCCAAAGCAAAGAATTCTACTTTCTGGAAGTAAATACCAGACTACAAGTAGAACATACCGTTACAGAATGTATGACAGGACTGGATCTTGTCGAAACAATGATCCATGTTGCGGCAGGCAATGCCGAATATTTGTTCGATCCAAAATGTGACTTTCCCATCAAGAAAGTTGCCATCGAAGCTCGTATATATGCTGAATCTCCTCTTCAAGACTTTCGTCCATCTTCGGGTCAATTACTCGATGTCTCTTTTCCCGATGGCGTACGGATAGACACTTGGGTCAAATCGGGGACCATGATTTCACCATCTTATGATCCCTTACTGGGTAAACTTATTGTCTCTGGTTTTGATCGTCCAGAAGCTGTCCGAAAGTTGTCTGTAGCACTAAATGGCACAAAAATTACTGGCATAGAAACGAACCTCGAATATCTCAAGAAGATCGTAGAAAGCGAGCCCTTTCTCAACGGCACTTATAAAACAACTTCTTTGAATACCTTCAAGTTTGGGCAGGCGGTGTTTGAAGTCATCGAGTCTGGGCCTTCAACATTAATTCAGGATTTTCCGGGGAGGCTTGGATACTGGCACATTGGCATCCCGCCATCTGGTCCAATGGATAATTACGCTTTCCAGCTAGCAAATCGTGTTTTGGGGAATGACCTTGGTGCTGCTGCTTTGGAATGTGGTTTCTCAGGACCGACTCTTCTCTTCCATCAAGAGACGGTCATTTCTGTAGTCGCTGGCAAGGTCTCCATCTCAATTGACGGAAGTGAAGCACCGCTGTATAGAGCGATCAAAGTCCTTGCCGGACAGAAGGTGCAAATTGGCAAGATCGAAGCGGGATGTAGAGCTTACGTCGCAGTGAAAGGTGGAATCCATGTTCCTGAAGTATTTGGAAGCCGATCTACGTTCACACTCGGAAAGATGGGAGGTCATAATGGGCGTGAGTTGCGCGCAGGAGATTTGATTCCGTTCAAGATTCCTCTCCATGAAACATCCTCGTCCCTCATCGCACAACCGCCAAGTTACAACTCCCTCTGGGAAGTAAAAGTCATGCCAGGCCCCCATGCATTTCCAGACTATTTCGCGGAAGGGACATTTAAAGAGTTGTTCAGTAAGCCCTGGAAAGTTCACTACAATAGTAACAGAGTGGGAGTTCGACTGACAGGTTCCACACCGGAATGGGCTCGAAAAAGCGGAGGAGAGGCTGGAATTCATCCTTCCAATATTCATGATAGTCCGTACTCCATTGGATCAATCAGCTTTACCGGGGATCAAGCGGTGATACTTACATGTGATGGCCCTAGTTTGGGTGGATTCATGGTGTTTGCAACAGTGATTTCTGCTGAAATGTGGAAGATTGGTCAGATGAAACCAGGAGATGAGATATTGTTATGTCCAGTCACTGCTTCAGATGCGATGCTTCTTGCATTTGATCTTCAAAGTTCAATTGAGACTTTAGAGCCTCTGAGAGAAGCATCTATTGAAACCAAGATATACGACCCAATTTTAGCGAGCGATGGTACTGGAAAAGACAAAATCAGCTACCGACAAGCTGGAGATGCCGCCATACTCCTCGAATTCGGCAACGAAGTCTTTGATATTCGGACTAGCTTCAAGATTCAAGCCATCATGGAAAGCCACAAAAATAATCCCATGCCAGGAATTCTCGAGCTCACACCAGGAGTACGTTCCCTCCACATATCATACAATCCAACCATCCCCCAAGCTACAATCCTCTCCACCCTCCGTGAGCACATAACCTCCTCCTTCAGCAACACCCTCAAAACAACTCTCCCCTCCCGAACCTTTCACCTACCCCTTGCTATCGAACACCCCTCAACTCTCGAAGCAATAACCCGCTATGGGCAAACCATCCGGCCATCCGCCCCCTGGGTACCAAGCAACACCTCCTTCCTCCGCGAGATAAACGGTCTCCCCTCCAACTCCGTCCTCAGCAGCACCCTTTCCACCACATTCCTGATCCTCGGGCTCGGCGACGTATTCCTCGGCTCTCCCTGTGCTATACCATTAGACCCGCGAAATCGCTTGTTCGGAATGAAATATAATCCCCCGCGCTCGTTCACACCCGAAGGGGCTGTCGGGATTGGAGGCCAGTATATGTGTATCTATGCCATTGATTCGCCGGGGGGGTATCAGCTTGTTGGACGGACGGTTCCGATTTGGAAGGGGGGCTGTGGTGGTGGAGAGAGGGAGTGGATGTTTGATGTTTTTGATCGGGTTGTTTTTTATGCTGTTGAGGAGAGTGAACTTGATAGGGCGAGGGAGACGGGGACGGGTAGTGAGTTGGTGAGGGTTGAAGAGGGGGTATTTGATTTAGAGGTTTATGAGGCTTGGTTGGAAGAGAATAGGGAGGATATCGTGAGAGTTAGTGCGGAAAGGTGGCGGGTGTTGAACGAGTCTGATGGGGTTGCTGAGGCTATGCGATTCTTACCTCCTTCGGATGTTGTTCAAAACAGCGATAGCTTGGATGAGTCTAGTACTGGTATAGTTATACGATCGGGGATTGCGGGGAAGTGTTGGAAGTGTGCTGTGAGTGTTGGTGATACCGTTGAAGCTGGACAGATTCTGGTGAGTACATTCTCATCTTCGTCGATTTAAGTTATTATTTGTAACGCAGTCAACAGTTTTCGATTGAAGCTATGAAGATGGAGATCAAAATCCCTGCTCCTAGTGCTGGATTTTGTACATCTGTCTTTGTTAAGACAGGGGATATATTGGGTGTTAATACCCAACTGGCTATGATATCGGACGTCTTATCTTAGGTAGGGATCCAGGTAATGTGGTCATGACAGCGTTTAGAATAACCAATCAAATACCAAATTATATTTAATTACAGCTTGAGTTCAGCGTTCGGCAAATGGTACTCGATTCTATAGATTCCATAATTCTATTCTATATGGAATATTGTTAGAGGTCCTTATAAATGGTATACTTAACTCTATCGAATAGGCTCTGGAATTCTATGGATCAATAGAATGCCAAAGCACGTGCTAAGCTAATAGCTTGTTCGTAATACTATTATTCACTGACTCTTAGCGCTAAAGAGAGTTTCTATAAGTCTTCGGACGGGGAAACTTTACTCCGGGTCATATGATTCTGTTCCATGGAATGCCATGGAACCACTCTATAATGGTATATTTCAGAGATTAGTACAAATGGCATGATATATTCTAAGGATGGGGGAGGGGGTCTGGTATAGAAAGGAATTCTAGTTGCCGAACGCTGCTTGAGTTGACCTTGACTTAAGTAGGTGGGTTACTTTAGTTAAGTTAAATGATTATAATGTACTATTAATAGTATCTTACGTTTATTTAGTACTTCCACAATAGTGTCACTAACTACTCTACTTGCAAACATACGATAATCAATTGTAGAGTTGCTTTTACTGTACTAATGAATAAGACTACTCTGTTTAGTTTGTCAAGAGAGTTAAGCGATAGGTAGGTCCGACTACGTTGCCCGAGCGCGCGAAGACTCGGGCCGATTTATTGCGTACTACTTAGATGGTAATTTAGTTACCCATCCAAGTACTTAAGTTGAGTTGAGTAGCTACTACTTAACTCAACTATTTTAATTGCGAATGCTAACATTGTAATGTGCGTACAGCACATGAATATCATGTTTGTTACAGATTCTATGAACACTAGTATGAGTACACCTTACCAGACCATTTGGCTAATCGCTAAAAGAATAGTATGATGATAGAACGCAGTGACCATATCAGCAGAATGATATCACGTGAGAATTTATCACTTTCCAAGGTTCTCTCTTCATCAATTCATTCATCACATTTGGTGAAAGAGGCAAGTGCAGAAACGAGCTTTCAAAAGAAATACTGAGTAATAAACCTTTCTGTCCCCATTTGTCCCCTCTGCCCCTTACCCCTGAGTCTCCCTTTTAGAAAATCCCTATTATTCGTCTAATGAGACTTAAGGAGACTAAAAAAATTTATTGAGGAAAAATATATAAACCCATCTATACGTTTGTCTTGATCTTCCCTTCTACATATTATCTTTGAAATTAAAAGTTTGTCCAGCCACACGTGACCCTCGTAAAGTGACCGTCCCAAGTTTCTCGGTCTTAACAGTTGGGCTGAGTTGGCCTTTTGACCTTGGGACAACACTTAGAGCTAGCTAACATCATAAGAGACCCTGCTTACCCCTTTACTTCGAGCAATCTTTCGTACTTGAATCTGCCCCACCTTCCCACAACTACCAACATGCGTACCTCCACAAGGGTACGCTCCCAATCCTTCGATCTCCACCACTCTCCCTTCAACCTCTCCTTCTGGCAATGCAAACCCCTCTATAACTCCGGTACAATCTCTCAACAATCTTTCCATGGGCCACCAATGAATTATAACCTCGCCGTTACCTGCTACAAACTCGTCTGTCTTGGCCTGAATCGCATCCTTGAACTTTCCATCTATCAAACCACCAAACTCTACTCCTGATGATCCGGGATAATGCGATGCCTTTGATTCCGTTAAAGGGGGCAGAATGCCTTCTCGGGAGAGAGCATTGATGGCAAGACCCAGGATATGACCCGCTGTATGAAGTCGAGAATATAACTCTCGCTTTTCAATATTTATATTTTGGATTATGGCTTTGCCTTCTTTGAATGGCCCCGGTCCCGGACTGAATCGGCCGAAGTGGAGAACCTGTCCTCCGGCTGCCGCATGTCGTACTGAAGTGACTTCAAAAGTAATAGTATCTGATGAAATCACACCGACATCAGATGGCTGACCACCTCCTTGCACATGAAAAATGGTGGTGTCAGTTACTAGTGGGTGGTCATCGTCTGAAGGGTCCTTGACCAAGGCTTGGTCGTCTGACCCAAGTGAAGAGACTGGTTTGACAGAGAGTACTCGGCTAGTGTACTCGTAGAGCGCTCCATGCTCAAGATATAGCAATTTTGTGCGTTCTGACATCTATACAGATGATTAGAGATATGACTCAACAGATCGGTCTAGATGATTCTTGTACTGGATTGGTACTGTACTGTGCTGTACAGAGGTGGCTGATCTAGATTTGCCTCGCTGAAACTAACCTCCTAGGTGAAAGTATGACCTAGTACAGTAGTAGTGGTACTGAATCTGATTCGTAGAATCTCCAAATACGTTGCAATAAGGTTTCGGTTCACGCAAGTTGTGCTGCGTTGGCTGAGTTTGTTGTTCGGGGAATGTTGGTGGGGGTTCAGATTGGCGGTAAGACCCATGCTTAGCTTTATGCAGACGAGACTATCGTTTGCCAGGTCTCTACTTCTATCCCAACCACAACTATGACCTAATTTCAAATGAATAACGTACATAGCTATTCTCTCGCAAAAAGAGTCTCGTTTTTTTTAAGTACAAGACTTTCTATTATTATTGAGGTGGAACTTGTTCCTGGCATCTCCTAGGAGTTCCAAGCGGATCAAGGACATGCAAGAGTCGCACGACATTTTGGTGCAAAGTTTGGTGAGCAATATACTTCAGCAACCTAGAAATATTGGGGTACCAGATCCTGGTTAAAAATTCCCCGAACTGTCTAGGATATAGACGTACTGTACGATGGGGAGTACGATTTTGATACTGAGCCAAGGGTGGATACTAGAACATGTTTACGAGTCCGAGTCCGGCGCCTTATGAAGCATCTTCACCACCACACCTAAGGCTGAAGCTTGAAACGCCTCCAACCAATATGACGCCCTTTCTCGCAACTCACTGGTTAATGCGCCAATAATAAAGCTATTGGAATTTGGATGCAGCAACGGACCTTTAATGTGGTCCGTGGAGTCCGCCGAGTCAGGGTCCACGAATTGCAAGCGCCACAACCAGTAGGTTGACACGGAATACACCTCCAACTTTCTGAGGCTTAGATGTATACGTGAGCAGATTCGAGAGCTCTACGTAGTACCATGCATGTACTTTCTGCCCGAATACTTCGTAGCTTCAAAGAGCTAAGTCCAAAGTTTTAATGCGGTGGATCTCCGGAGGGTTTCGAGACTCCACGAATAACACAATTTTAGACCCCGAAAGATTGACGGGACAACTAATCGTTGTCTGGAAAAGGCCTCCGAGAATATATGACACCGCATAATTTGTTGAACACAGTGGTCGTCGTCCTATGGATGAGCTTTGCCTAAAGTAGAGTAGGGTTGCCAAGATCAACGGTATGCGTTCTCTACCGTGCGTGTTGACTTTCATGACGATGGGTCTATAGCTCGGCCGGCGGGGTACATAAAGAAGAAGACCACCCATCATTTTTATCATCATCAACAGCATCTTCAATCAACTCACTCAATCAACAATCTCAACACATTACAATCACCCAAATACCCTTCCCAACAACCTCATCAAACTATCAAAATGGCCGTTCTTGGACTCGTTATCTCTCCAGCTCTCTCTGATGCCACCAAGGCTATCATGCAGACTGAGATTCCAGCAATCATCGCCGCTGTCAAGTCTTCTCCTGGTGTGAAGGCTGTCTATGCCGGTCCCCTCGTTGCTGAGAAGGGAGCTCCAGCTACCGCTACGAAGATGGTTCAATTGATTGGTAAGTCTCTCTTAACTACTGTTATCATCCTCAACACAGTCTAACGATATTAACAGAATTCGAAAGCGTCGAGGCTGCCGCAGCTCTCAGAACCAACCCACCAGCAGCAGTCGAGGCCCTCAAGGCCAAGCACGATCTCCCAGAGCCAGAAGTCTCCAACCTTTTCGAATTGGAAACTGCTCCATCCGCAGCCGACCTCCAAGCTGTTACTTCAATCACCGTCCTCTCTATCAGCGACGCTTCCAAGAGCGATGAGGCCCGCAGCACAATGGGCAGCTTGATGGGTGGTTCTTCAGAGAAGAAGGTCTTCGGAGGAAAGAGCGTCAAGACCCCAGGCCAGGGTGTTGTCATCGTCTCCTTCGGCAGCCGAGAGGAGATTGTAGCTGCAGAATCCAGCCCACAGGCTGCTGCTGGAAAGGAGGCCTGGGCCAAATATGGTACCATGGAGAACTTCTTGACCACTCTTCAAGCCGCATAGATGGAAGATACAATGGCATTGGTTTAGTGCGGTTTATCGGCATCTGAACCCTGGAGGTTTTGGTCTACCTAGCTAGATAATGACTTTGAAAATTGAGATCATTGCATACTCAACTACCTTTTACTTGACCTGTGAATTTTCATTTTTCAATATACTTTGCTATAATTCGTTCCGAGGTCATACAATTGCCACAGTCGGAGGGTCAGACTTGGACTCACAAGGTAATTTTGGTCTAATGGTCCAGCCGGCCAGCAGGATATGTCCTTTGGGACTGGGTAGCGTAGTGGAGACGGACATTATGACACTATACCCAAACACTTAACTTCCACCGAAAATAGAAAAAAGCCTCTACGCAAACTTCTTGCTCAGATTGGAAGCATCATAATACAACCCCGCCCAAAGTTTCAGGAGCAGGAGACAGCCTTGATGGAGCAAGTGGGGTAAAGGGGGACGTGCTGCTAACCGCCTATCCGTACTCGGTGCCCACAACCCCTCAACCCCTCAACCCGCCGGATTTACCGAGAGCTGCGGGGTTCCTCTGTGCACAGACCAATAACATTCGTATTCAGCTTCGGGTTGTAGTATATACTTTGAACAAGCGAGGAGTACGTAAGTAATTCATGCCTTGCCCACCCGATAAGTTTTCGCTTCCCTGCAGCCAATAAAATGTCCAAGATCTGAGCTTGCCGTGTGTGGTTAAGTGCTAGTTTGGCCGGAATTCTGCAGCTAGTGAACTTGCATCATTACTAGCGACTTAGGAGCCTCACTTTTCGAGCTACACCGAGTCGCCAGCCTCAACTTCGACATCTTCCAGATCTAGAAAGCTTTCTGAGCCTCGAGTCAGACTGCTCAACTGCCAACCATTATGTTTCCCTTCGGAATCCCACGAGCCGTCTTGAGCCTTGTGATCATTTCAACCTTGCATTATCCTTCCTGCTAGTCGTCGCAAAAACTCTCCTCTGTCTAATTCGCGCTATCTTAGTTTTCTAACTCGCCCCAAGATCTAAAGATTGAATTCTACAACTCGGCGGTGTGCTGCGTCTTTTGGAATGATCTAGTCAATTACGCTTGTAAGAGTCGTCCTAGATGTTTGATGATTGGAAGACGTGGAAGCAGCGAGACCTCGGCTACGTGTGTAGTGACGGCATGCGAGCCCCTTTTGTCGCTTAACTCAAACTATAGTGAATTTAGCAAATTTGGTACATGCCCGGGAAACTATTGATTGAACCTCATCTCATAAAGAAAATAGAGGTAAGTATTAGAAAAACTATGAAACGTTCGAAAACCTTCAAGTTCACGTTGAAACCGCTACATGGACTTTTTTGTCGCCCCCAAGATCACAAGTAGATTTAGCACTTGTTTAAATCTAACGCCTAGGCTATAACAAAAGCGCTACACGTTCCTTTCTAACATTGCCTAGTTCAAATGATCTTGTCTACTTATCCAAAGTACCGATGTCTGTTCAAGCATCCATGCAATTAGTACAGTGTAAATACCCTACTAAGCTGAAAAACTCCGACGCGCATCTATGAAAGGGATGAACTTGGACCATTTCTTGAATTTATAACATTAATTTGGGATGAACTGAAGTAAATGGTTACCTAAAGGTTACCATTTGTATATAATAGATCGAAAAGAAATAGGAAGATTATCGCTAGTCTAGGTTAAAATTAGATCCTAGCCGTAATAGCCTTATCTACTTCGGATTAACTATATATAGCTAAATATCCATATGTCTAGTACCGAGTTTCTCAAAGACCTGGATAGATAGAATATAGATTTCTTAGAAGACATGTTTATATGTCTAAGTAGCGAATAAAAACTCTTCGGCTTTCGTTCGAGTACTATTTTATATATAAAGGAAAGCAGGGTACATGAAAGAAACAAAGTCACTTGTAAAACATACTATAGTCCCCGCGTTTAATAAAATTCTATGAACTATTGTCAGGGTGTATGATTAGATTGTCTGCAAGGAGAGAAGAGTTCTCCAAGCAGAAGTTACAACTATATTCAGAGAGATTACTATCTAAGTAAACGGACTTGCAAAGTGGATATAAAGAGGAGTAGGAGCTACTTACCTAGGATCGGCTCGGCTCGGCTCGGCTATCTCCCGGAAACTCCGGAGAGCTATCCGAGTCAAAACGCTCCACTAAACAAGTATTTACAGCAAAATAAAAGGAATCGATTAAATGGTAGCCAACTTGGCCTGTGCACATCTAGCACAAAACGTAGGCACTTAGCGATCTTCATACTACAAAAAAACCAAAAATGATATCCTACTAATCCCAACTTCTAGCCCTAACCTCAACTCTAGCCCTAACCCCAACCCTAACCATCCTATCTTAACTTTCTACTTCTCTTAGTGAAGAAAATTTAGGGTGTTCTAGTAGTATTTTAGTAGTGGAGAAGGTCTCGGGAGCCTTGTAGTGGCCAGTGCATAGGCTTATACATGCATTATTTATGCTAAGGTGGCTACCATTTAATCGATTGCAAATAGAACAGCAAAACCATACAACAGCAGGTATTCGCTGGTGGTCACCCACCCAACTACTAATCTGCCGATCAGAGGCTTGTGTATGGCAGAGCGGACGGGATGCCCAATTCTCCTCAGTCTATGGTCGTATGTAACCGTACAGGCGTTGAAGATAAATATATCAGGATCTATGCAAAGAAAGGGATAACGTGGGTACATCAACACCCTCCCAGTCTTTAGGTAATTCTATGAATTGAATTAATATTTTAATTATACTAGGAGCTAAGTTGAACCAAATTTCATTTAGTAGATATAGGTATACTTAAGTATAAGAAATCATCAGCGAATCACGTGAAACCCCAGCTGTGTAGTTGTATAAAGGGACTAGTTACGAGACTATGGTATAGAATCCGCCAGGTAAGTAAAAGCCTCTCGAATAAGTATTTATTAAGACTTACGTGCTAATAGTTTATTATACAATACCTAACACAGATACTAGTCAAATGGGCCGTAGATATCTAGTGTTCTGGTATAAACTTTTTCTAAGGGGAACAAATGCAAATTTCTTACTGTTAGTGAATGGTACTCGTATACCTCGCAAGTTTAGATGAACCTGACGGTTCCGAGAAATTGATTATTTTTAATAACCATCCGAAACACACACCGTGACAGTCATGGCTTTAGGTTTTATGATACATCTTTAACGTTATCAATATAATCTGGGTTGTCTTAAAAAGGCAAATAAAAACACTCACACTCCTACAGAAAGTTATGGATATCTGGAGTACAGCTGTGTCGACGAAGTCGAAGCAGAAAATAAAAGTTCCAAGTCTATCTCATCCTGCTGGGGCTGCCAAGAGTAGTTCAGCGGCAGCAACGACATCGGCCAGTCAGCATTAGCAGTGTACGGAAAGGCGAAATCAAATCCGTTGCTCTCATACACTAACTCGTTGTTCGGAGTCGGGAATGTCTGAGCAGCCGAATTGGGAGAAGTAAAAGACCCAGTTCCTTGCATTCCCCCGAAGCCCACGGCATCGGTTTCAGACAGCAAACTTGCGTTCGATGAAGGCCCGGATGACGCGTTGCTTACTGATTGCATGTTTATTCTGCCATAATCTCTTAGTCGTTCAGACGCGGCGGGAATCATGCCCCAAATTGGTTGGGAATCGGAAAATAATGGCTTGATTCGAAGAACCAGCTGAGAAACTTCCCGGGCTCCAATTCGTGCGATGACACTGACCTCACTCAAAACCTGCAATCTTTGGAGGGCTGTAAGCATCTCTCGCATACAGGTCTCTCTCTTCCATGGTCCCTCTCTGATCAAATCTTCAGGCGCAAGTTGAAAAATATACAGATCCTGGACTGTTGCAAGTGATATGAGATGCATTCCAAGTCCCATTGCAGCCTCGAAGGTATAAAACGCCAGGATGAAAAGACGAGTCTGATTACCACCAATCAAAGTATGAAGTCGTGAAAGGTCTTCAAGTAGAGCCAATGTATGTTTGACAAAGCGGACGCGATGGTGGTATGTTATCTGACGTTCTTTTGGGGAGAGACTTTGTATCTTTGAGCGAGGGAATCGAAGTACTGGACGATGATGAGTTGAGAGAATAGCCTGAACAGCTATGTACAGTATCTGACGTCGCTTAACCATATTAGGGACAAATTTGTCCACTGAGTGTCCGGATTGTCGATGGCAAAAACTGAGGGTAGCTTCGCAAGTTCCTTCGTGAGAAATGCGTGCTGTTGTTCAATGAGATGCATATCGTAACGAGCGGGTTTGCCACACGAAGGTCTGTAATGTGATGAACAGCAACGCGCCAGCTTAGCTTGTACTAAACGCTCGATGTAGGAATCTGGCACCCCAGTGCTGGAGGAATCGCTAGAAGGTTGCATTTGCATATAGGGGTATGCTACTGTACAACGCTCCTCTGGTAGACGAGACCATCGATCCAGTATAACTGCCATGAATCTAGAGCATATTGTAAGAAACGAGTCTGAACATCCTTGCTTGACTTAACCTCCCCAATAAATGACTAAAAGAACTTGAAATTACACATGAATAAAGAAAGAAGCTTACCTATCCCATATATATAAGTTCCAAAAGGTTCGCCGTCGCATGTCAATTTCAAACCCACCAACAAGCGGATCGCTTGAATCTCGTGTTTCCTCGTGCATACCTAGGTTCATGGCAATATGAATAGCCTCACCAAGGTGGTCCCAAGCGTCCTTAACTCGACCCTCATTCTTAGTGAAACAAGTGGCAAAAAAGTACTGCAACACGTCTATTCGAGTCGGCTGAGCCCCGGAAGATTTGTGCAAATTAGTCAATTTCGTTGCAATACCATGACACTTCTCACTAAGAGTACTTAGCCGCTCACCACCGACGGTTGCTGCAGTATAATTACTTTTATTATGTGAGCTGTGGTAAAATCCCAGAAGTGGAGAGAACTTACGGAGAGGGTAGAAACTGCGTTGTATAGGAGCAGATACACAGAAGAAGAATTGCGAAACTCATATCCTCGATTGCTGTTCCAGGAAAGTTATTCCACCAGTCGTGGTACTGATCTAGAAAAGTTGCAGAGTGAATAATTTCATACATCCAATTAACACCACGAAAGAAGATCTGAACAAGGAGATCCGCGACTTCTCTTCGAGGAAATAATTGCTTCATCAGTCGAGAGTAAGGTTCACGTACATGCCGAAAGGCACTTTTTGATAGCTGGTAGTTTGCATCTTCGCAATGAAGAAATCCAAACTACGAAGGTAGAGATCAGTGATGTTCAGAACGAAAGTTGAAAGAAAAACAAGTGGTCCTCAGCCACCAACCACCGGTAGGCCAGCTGCATAATAGAAAGCAAATAAATCGCATGGACAAGGCTCTTACGTACATATTTCATAAGTCCTGCTAGGTTTTCGGTGCCATGGTTCGAGTAGCCAAGGGCCAGAGATATATTATCATCGTCGCCTGTCCCAGCTGCAAGCCCAACTCGGAAGATTCAGAGGTATCCTGGCCCGTTTCATTCTGGCCACGGCCATGTAAATCTGGACTCGTTGGAGAATTTGAATTATCGTTATCATTATCCTCTTCACCCTGGTCAACATTTTCTTGTCGAACTCGTTTCAAGCCACGATAATCATCAGCTATGTTGTGTGCGTCCCCCGATACCCGATTTTCTTGGGTCGATTTAGATGCATTTCGGACACCGTCGCTCGATGAGGAATGCTGTACTGCATAGCTGCAGATTTCTGGCCTTCGTCTGCGAATGCAATGGCAGCACGGATACTGGCGGTCGCACTATGACAACGTTTTAGCGACCAACTCGTATAATGGCAAAAGGGATGTAATGGTAAAAGTTTGAGGTGGGGCAACCAAGAGGCTTAGTTTACCTTTTGCTTCCGAAGATAGCATTGCGAGCACGATGCAATCGCTCTTTTTCGTGGTTGTTGCATGATTTAGGCAGCAATGGTGGGAAACTCCCAAATGTAGCGGCTCATGTGAAGTTACGCCAACCAAGAACAACTCTTCCGATTATCTAGTTTTGAGTATCTACAGACTACAGTAGAAATCCAACAGGCATGTAACACGGCTCAACCAAGTAATCCTTGCGTTAACGCCGTGTGCGTTGATGTCGAAATGCAGAGCCGCCAGAATGCATAAGCGCCATGGACAAAGAAGGCAGGTGTTCAGATTGAATGATGTCACGGGGTATGAGTCTACATGTACGTGTACAAGTGTTCTCGTACAGCACTGTACGTACTATAGTGTAAAACATGTCTGCTAATTGATGTATGCAATTAATGTTCTAGTTACAGGACCTCGCTAAGAACGAAAGGTTATTCTCTCGTCCGATCAGCGGATTTAAGTCTCGTTATGGAGACTACGGTAGCTATGTGATCGCGATTACATAATTGCATGCCCGGTGGTCGCTGTACATTGACCCCGGCTCTCATGGGGGAGGGTGACTGCAGCATAGCGCTGGCTCCTTTTTGTTTTTTCGGCGCCGATATATTTCGGATATGTCATCCCACCTTTGCCTCTCCAAGCTGTCCTTATCAGTCGTCAATTCATGTAGCCAAGAATTTACACTGCCATCAGAATTTCATACGGTATCATAGCTTACACTGACCCAACAGCTACAGGTTGTATCCATGTGTAATAATACTATCTAGTTCCATCTATCTCTGCCTGCGAGGGTAGGTAGACCAGTTTTCAACATACACAGCTGTAAATATCACATCTCGTTGAAAGCGAGCCACACAACGTTTTTCGCTAAGGCTGTATCACTTCATCCCAACTAATCCGGGACTTCTTAGTTCAGGGCTAGGCTCTGTTGAAGTAACTCTTCAAGATGATTTATTCTGGTATCCTTCGCTCTCGTTTCTTGCTTTATATCTCGGGCAATACTTTCGTCGTTCTGGGAACATCAGTGCTGTTGGCGCTCCGATTGTGGGGGCTGATCCGTGTTTGGTCTTCAACCTTGAAAACGATTAATTTATGTGACCAAAGGTTTTTCATATGCTTTACACCGGCTATGAAAAGGTGTGACAACTACAATTTTAAAAAGCTCGTCTCCAAGGCTGCTATACTCGCTTAGTATTCAAGCGAGATATTCCAGATTCCCATGATCAACCAGGATCTTATTGTGCTAACGCCGAAGGATGTTGAAGAACAGAAGAGTTTACCGGAGAGTGTTTTAAGCAGTTCTCAAGCTATGTCAGTTGTGAGAATATCAATAATCAGCTAAAGAGAAAAATAAATACCATACTAATTGCAAGATCAGTATTTCCTCGGAAATTACACGACATTGAATTTTAAATTGTCTAGAAATATCGTACGGAATGTTTTGAGGGGGAGCTTGACGCAGATTTTGGGAAATCATGTTGAGCCTCTCCGTGAAGAATCTATTGCGTGGTTTAGCGAGAATCTTCAACTTGGCAAAGGTGTGTTTTCTTGCTGCTTTCAAGGACTTTGAGCTAAGATTTTGATGCAAATTTGCACACCTGTAAAATCCACCCAATTCCCTTGTCAATTGTTAGGCGAATGAGTGCTCGTATATTTGTCCGCAAGCGTTTAGCAAAACCACACTTCAATTGATTTTACAACATGATTCTTTCAAGGCTCCGGAATACCATCAAGGTAAATAGTCCGAATTGCCGTAAAGACCTATATCCTGGCGCTTGACTTTATAGCTACGCTACCCTATAATAATTTAATGTATGAGGACGGTATGGCGGCCGGATTTACTTGACACACTGATGCGCGCTTTAGTAATCTGCTTTAGGCGATTGCGGATCAATCCTCTTCCTAGAATACTAATTCCACTTCCACCAGCGTTCTTGAGAAGCTGTAAAGAGCCTCACTTGCCGAAATACACGGGCTTGTCACGGAGGCGATTGTGGAGCGCCTGGCGAAGTTCCTGTTCATTTCTGTAAATGAAAGTGAGAGTAATAAAGCTATATCTGATTTCAGAATAGAAATTATAATTGCCACGGAGTTGAGAAGTTAGTTTGCGAAGACTTTCCAGACGGAGATTTCTTTCTCGGAGTTGTTGAATTTACAGACGAAGATTGTGATTTTGACGGAAATAGTTTACAAGACTCGAGCTTAGAGTATACAACAGATTAGAACTTACAGGAAACATCATGAGAGAAACGTTCGTTTTGAATTAAATTTGATAAATTATCTTTGCGTGCCCAAAGTGAACAGTAAAGATAGGCGAAAACTGTAACGAATACTCAAACTGGCTAACTAAACTTGGCTGGGTGTTCGCTGGTTGGTATGCTATGATAAGAAGAAGACTATCGGGTTGTTCACTTGGAAGTGAACTCGTTACTTGTATCAAAGATGTCAAACTAATATGATAAGATTGATAACTAAGTTGAGCACGAAGCTCCTATCTAATGGCAGACGTGCCAGTCTTATATAGAACCTCTGTTCTCTGTTCTAACTGTTGGATCGCCGGGGTCGACCCAGACGACTGGAGCGCTCGTCGCTCCAGGCGACCCAACTTGTCACGTGACACTAACCAAAGGAAATCCCTGGATCGCTTAGCTAGCCCAAGCGATCCCATTTGCTATAAGAGCGTTCAATAGTGCTTGACTTGTCAGGACGCCGCCTGGTCTTCACTTCTCACGTGATAACACGTGATTCGTGACACGTAGGTAAAAATTATAATTTTAGTCCTTACTTTATAATAAATAGAGCTCTCTTATTAGCTAAATAGTAATATATATATCCTTTAGAATTCTAAATTCTAAGGCCTTATCCTATAAAATATACTATTTTAAATTAAAGGGCCTTTAGAATATTCTACCTTAGAATAGAATCTTAGAATCCTTAGAATCGTATTCCAAGTGCCGAACGCTGATTGGCGCCTGGAACCACACCTTGAAACCACAGGCCCCGTCAGGGTATATAGATACTTCGGAACTAACCGCTGGGAGAATTTATCTCTTTTTCTTGTGAAACGCGTTGAGGCGATCTGGTAGCTTTATTTATGATAATAGCGGAGGCAGATAGTCTTTTCGTTTTAGACTTGACAAATTGAAGATTAGTACAGTAAGTTAAATTCCACCAGAGTATAAAGCTATAATTTGATTCGATCCCATTCTGAAGTACCGAAACTGATTCCAATATTATACCTATGCAATCCCAGTCCTGAGCACAAAAAGTATGTCCAAAGTAGCTCCCATCTAAGAATAAAAGAGAAAGCCAACCAACAATGCAACATAATCCCGATTCAAGAAGATACTATCATGTCCATTTCAAATCAGCCTCTGGTACCTCAGTTCGAAGTAACTCAACAGTCTCCTTCCAAAGCTTCTTCTGAACCGCTGCTCCCTCAGCTGATAACACCCAGGTCGAAGCTCTAAATGTTGTGTCAGTTTCGTTCACTGGTTCTTACAGCGGGTAACTTACGGTATAACCTTTTGCTCCGAGATATATGATCCGTGACTCCCCTTCTCTTGATTAACTGCCGCATCCGCCAAAAAGTAACCACCTTCAATTGCTGGTCTACCAAAGATTTTGTTGAATGTAGCGAAAGCCGCGCTAGACTCATCACGGTGAAGATTGCTCAAACACAATCCAGGATTAACGGTATTGATAACCACCTGATCTGGCGAGGTCTTAGTAGCGAGCTTGCGTGCCCACAAGACATTGAGTAGCTTCGAAACATTGTAACGTTCTGGTTGTGTACCGAATGAATCCTTTTCGTCCAAACGGCGTAAGATATTGCTCGCCTTACTTTCTTTGAAGGTAGCCAGCCCACATGTGAACCCCAGAAGATGTGATAACCATCCTTCCTGGTTTTCCGATTTTTCTTGCACTTTCGATCATTGGCTCCATGATCATCAGACTTGCTAAAGCTGTGGAAAGATGATTGACTTGCACAGTCATCTCATGGCCGCTTGCTGCCGTAAAGAACTCGAGCTTCTTCAACCCTGCATTGAGGAAAACTATATCCAGACGATCAAGCAGCTGTGCCTTCTTACCGAATGCGCATACGCTGCTGAAAGATTCGAGGTCGAGTTCCCAAATTTCGACCACGCATTTGGGGTTTGTTTTGATGAGGTCTTGGCGGGCAGCTTCGCCTTTAGAAATCGTTCGGACTGCAAGAATAACATGGGAGACGTTGTGAGCGATAAGTTCGCGAGTAGCTTCGAGACCAATTCCAGTGTTTCCGCCTGTGATGAGAAGAGTTTGGCCTTTTAGGTCAATGGAAGATGGGAGGGGTTTTGGATGCACGAAGCGCTGTCGGTAAAGGAAGGAGAAGAATCCCATCTTAGATGATATCGATGTAGTGCTGGAAAGCTATTTGTCGCAAAATTTTCTGAAAAACAAAGAAAGCTGATGTTGGTGGCCGAAATCCTTTTTTATGCCCAGTGATAAAGGAATTCCACGAGATGGCTGGGTTCCAAGCTTTTTGTCGAATGTTTGAAGAATCAAGCTGTGATGTTGTAGGGTGAGAAGATTTATTAAAATCATGCAAAGTATTCTCTCACTCAGCTTCAGTTTTATGAATGTAGTCATTCAACATCAATCCATGGCCGGTAATCCATCAAGGAGGCTCGCCAAGTACAATAAAAGAAGGGGTATAGATCACGTGTGCGAATCTTTTCGGCCATCAGGCTACGGGTGACTGATATCTACCAGTAAAGTACTGTAAGACGGTAGAAATGTATATGGGTAAGCCCGAAAATTTCGACCGTAAATTTACGGTCGAGATTTTCGGTTCCAAAGGCCCTTGCCACAGTCAGTGGCTCCTCGATAGTCCTTCAGCCACCCCGCAACACCTGGAATTATTGTGGCACAAGAAAGTAAGGCAGTGCATCAAAATAGTCTTCGATGGTGGCATTATGCAATCTAACTTCGACCAAATAAATGTAGAATTTAATGAAGTGGAAGTTTCAAGCGCTCTTTATGTGTAGCACAATGCCCGTCTACGGCATGCATTGTGACATGAGAGAGAGAGAGTGGGAGTGAGAGAAACGGGGAAAACTTTTCAGTCGTGCGTATCGCTTATTCCCAGCCCCAAATACTACCTTCCTAAAGAGGCTAGGCTGGCACATGTTACGCTGACAATTGTTTGCTACCTGTCTGCCCATGTCCTCCCACTTTCTCTTGTCTTTCTTTACGACACGCCTTTACAACTAAGACAGCGACAGCGAGAGCGATAGCAAGAAGGGATAGAGGGTCAGTTTGCGGGGGGGGAGGTGGAGCGGGCGTTACAACAACCCCCACGAGAGCGGGGGTATATACTTAGCACGTGCAAGGCACGTATAGGGGGGGGGGTACAGAAAGGGGAGCACAAAAAAGAGGGCACAGAGTAGGGGGTATAAGAGAGCACTTGCGTACTTATCGTCTAGCAGACCTTTTCTATCTATATAATTTTAGATAATATTTAATAGACTGATTATATTTTCTAGCTCGTCCTTCTATATAAAGTGATTTATGATTTGCGATCTGATCGATTCCGACCTAAGTGTACGTTTAGGATGCCGTACTTGTAGAATACTCATGAAGTTATATATAAAATACTTGTCATGTACCGCGATAGCTTCTAGATTAAAAACACGTGGTTAGCTCGTCTAAACTCGAAGAACCCTAGCAGGATAAGCAATATCATTCTACCATGCCGGCATGTATTTGCAGCCAATAGAATCAGGCTTCATCAGCCATCATTAGGGTAAAGCGGTGAAGTGGGTGAACAAGGAGGGGCTTTTGACCATAGGAACAATTCAGACATCTTGTGAAATCAACTGAAAGTAGCAAACATGTTCTTCTTAAACCCTTCTATTTCGATAACTTGCTTTTGTACACTAATCTCAATTACATCTGCTGCAGTGTCTCGTATCATCTACAAGGATGTGGCGATTCTCGGAGGTGGGGCATCAGGTTCTCACGCTGCTGTAAGACTTCGGGAGGATTTTAACAAGAGCATTATTATTATCGACAGGCAGGAAAATCTGGTGTGTCTACTAAGATCTTCCATTTCTTTTTGTGTGTGGGGCTAACCAATCTACAGGGCGGCCATGTTGAAACCTACACAGACCCAGTTACCGGAAACCCATATGACTATGGTGTCAACTCATACACGGAATACGGCAAAGCGAGGGAATTCTTCGCTCGATTCAACGTCTCTCTCGTTAATCCTACATCTCTAAAATTAAATACCTCATATATCGACTTCACTTCTGGAAAGCTTCTGCCTGGATATCTATCTCCAGTTTCCGCTGATGTCACAGCGGCACTCATACGATATCTCGATGTGACTTCAAAATATGAAGATATGGTTATCCCATCCTACGAACGGTTTCCAGAAGACGTGCCTGATGAGTTGCTCACGAGATTCTCAGACATTGTCATCAAATACAACCTTCAAGCTTGTCTTCCTCTGATTTATCAAATCACCGGTTTCGGACTGGGTAATATGGCAGATGAACTTTTCCTTTTCGTGATGTCCGAGTTCAGTGCACCCATGGCTCGTGTTGTTCTAGGCCAAAAGAATAGTTGGGTACCATCTACGCGTCGAAATCAAGACCTCTACGACAACATTGCGGAGTTTCTCGATGGCGATGTTCTCTACTCAACCACAGTCGTTAAATCAACCAGAACTTCCAAAGGAGTAGAGCTTCTCGTGCGTAACACTGCTGGAGAATCTCACAAAATCATCGCCAAAAGACTTCTCATTTCATTTGCACTCACCCCTGAAAATACTGCGACTCTTTCCCTCTCGTCCGCTGAGAAGGAAATATTCTCAAAATGGAAACTCTCCCACGGCTACTGCGGAATCGTCACATCTCCAGCCCTATCTCCAAACATCTCCCTCATAAACCTTCCAGCTTCAGCTGCACCCCAAAACTATCTCTCATTTCCCTCTGCCCCCTTCGTAGTTCGCTATCAATATCTCGGCGACACCAACTTCCGAATCCTCATCACCGGAACCGAGAATTTCACACTTCCCCTCGCTAGAACCCTCGCCCAAGAAACTTTCCAGACCCTAATTTCCGCGGGCAACATTCCTCAGATTGAGGGTGGAGATTTGGACTTCGAAGCTTTCCAGGAACATACTACCACAAAACAATTCATACCAATAGAGGACGTGAAAAATGGCTTTTACAGGAAGTTGTATGCTTTGCAAGGGGAGAGGAGTACATGGTATACGGGACGTGCTTGGAGCGGTCAGTTTACTACTATATTGTGGGAGTTCAATGATATATGGTTGTTACCTAGATTGCTAGATAGTCTCTAGCAACTTGAGCTGTTTTGATTTCGATTTTTGCAGATGATCATTGGGGGTGGATCGTCTGAAAAGTCTTGGATAATTTGAGAATAAAGTTCATTTTGCTGAATAGCTTTATCTGGTATTGTTCCTTGGGTAGTAGATTCACATTGACGATGAAGTTTACTTGTCTTTCCCAGATGTTTGTTTCTTTGACAAGAATGAGCTGAACGAGCCTAAAGAGAATTAGCAGGATCAATGGTTTGAAGCTTTTAGGAAGGACCAGAAGGTATGTCTAAAAAAGATCGAAAATGCGTGCAAAGATATCCACGGCAATCAAATTCAAAATGTCACCTTATATTACCCACAAACACAATTTAGTGATGAAATACTCATGATATCACGACGAATTGTGAAACATCGCTAATCCTATGGACAAATCTTTTTAAATTAACTTTTACCCTTAACTTCCCCTAACTTCCCCTTGACTCTACCGCGATCCGAACCATGCTGTAACTAGATCCCTGCAAGGTCCTAAACAGCATTCTTTTCCCTTCTGTTTGAAGAAACCATTCATACCAAATTGAACGACATATATTGCACGTACTTTGCAAATCCAAACTCGCAAGGTCCTCCGTGGCACAGTCTCGCTTACAATAGAAACCTACGCAGGGCCAAGTTCAAACGCCATAGCATACTTCCAAAAACTTGAATATTGGTCTTCCGGATATATCTTGGCCATCCAGGTGTGAATTTTTACTATCTTCCTCTGCCGAAACGTTGCAGGATAATCTTCCAACAGATGAGCAACCCCTACACCGTTCGGACTACGTAAAAGCGAATAGTAGGTCTCCAGCTCGCTGTTTGTAGAATTGGAGCGATCAAAGGTTGCTTTTCCATCTGAAACGTTGTTTTGGTGCCTTTTGTGCGCTTCTTTGATGCATTCTCGTGTCGTGATGTTACCAATCATGTCGCGAAGAATATATGTAATCTTAGGGACATCCTTTGGGAAGTAGAAATTCTTGATTACCTGGAAGAATAGATCGCTCCAGTGTTCGATTCTGTCTTGGGGAGGTGTAACATTACTTTTTCTCATATCACTAATTTCCGCAATGACTAGTCCGTCACAGGCGCCTTGTGAAAAGGAGTTCTGGGACACCAAGTGTTCGGCGCCGTTGTCGCTCCCTAAAGAGTGTACTTGTGCGCAATTGAAATTCGTAGATTGGTCCAAGTTCAGGTCCTTGAACATTTTATGCACAGTTTTGTCTTTAGCACAGTACTTGGGGTCGGTGACTTTAAAGGGATCATGTATGATGAGTTTGTAGCCAGGAATCTTGTCAAATGGCTTGCGTGCTTCTTTACCCAGGTTTTGAGGGTTGGCTTTGATGGCGGCTAACTTATCGTGTAGCTCTTTATCAAGTCTCTTGCCTGACTCAATGCAGTCTTTTCTGCCCTTTCCACCAGTCTCACCTGGGTTTGGGTTTTGCATTTTGTCCATGAAACGAGGGAGAAGCCTGATCCAACAACTATCAAATGGCTATAGGTACGGAAAGAGGTAGAGGGCGCAGCAATTTAATTTATGTCTTGACTATTTCTGGTATTCACTTAGAACATGTGATGAGGTCGGTCATGAAAGTATTGCTCCCATTGCTTGTTTGCGATAGTCATTCTTCGAAGGATTTTAGACATTGTCCCCAGAGGTCTCGTGCTAAGCCCAGCCATTCACGCAATCATTTTGGGACTCAATCTGGGAGGTGCGACAATTTCCCCAGCAGTCCCATGTCATATTAATCTAGAGCCTTGAAATTCACCCAAGTTTCGGTTGTCTGCTCTAGTGCTTCTAGCATGATTTTAAGGTGGAGAGACCTTGGTCAAATATCCTATGATTAAGAGGAGAAGAGTAGCATTTTACTACCAATAGCCATAATAGACTTCAACCCCCTCTTTTCCTGGCTCATGATATACATCGTAAGAACATCAAACCATCACACCTGGGTAACAGCGAGTGTTCTGCCCAGAGATTCACCCCAAAAGCTTCTCCGTTACCTGCACTCTCGGTTCCAGTACTTGCAATCAATTAAAGATTTGATTCTGATTCTTTAGGCATTCTGTTGGCACGTAAGTTTGTATGACATTTTCAAGCAAATTCTCGTAACAAAGAGACCATTAATATTCCTATAATTTAATAGCTTTGCTAATGTTAATAGCATGGCGGGTGTAGTGATGGGGCTGGGTCAAGATAATTACATCTCCTTTACGATAAACCCTCGGAGCTGTATTCTTTGTGCATGTGGTAGTTGTGTGTGACTTGGCTTCTAGGATAGAAATCCAGTCTCCAAGAACCCTTAGAGTGCTAGCCAAATGACCGCAAGAACTTAAAATTATTCTACAACTCAAGACTTACAATCTTAGTGTAAGGAAGAATTTGATTCTTTGCTCCACTCAAAGGACTCTGAAAACCCTTCTAGGTAAATAAATGCGTGGTACCACTAACGACATTTACTCCCACTTTCTTGCACATCCCAAAAGTTTGTCAGCCTCAACCTACCTCCCTTTCTTGCAATTGTTCCGCCCCGTGAAAATGTTCTTTGACATAAGATCTTTCCTCTTGATTTGGAAGCATGATACACAGTACCATACTAACAAACAACTTCCGATAAGCCATGTTATCACACCTCTAGCCCAGGTCACTGCTTGCGCAATGTACGATTATACTTCTAATGGCACAAAGCAGGTTCTGATATTACTGTAACAAACAAAACCAATATTCCAGGTTCATTATTGGCCTAGATCAAGAGGGACACAATATATCAGGTAATCACCTTGAATTGTCTATGAATCTCTTAACGTCGCATTGTCCCATGACAAATTATGGTGGAATGCTGCTCCCGTGATGATACAGAAACTTCTGCGTAAGATATATATTTATATATATAGCTATACGAAGAAGACCTAAGACAATAACCTGAAGTCTTTTGAATCCAAAATCCTAGGGTGAAGAAAAGATAACTTCGAAGGAGATATCATGAGAATTACTAGCCCTCGTACACGGTAAAACTCACTCATCAGTCAAAATAGAAATAGTCTTCCAGGCAGTCAAATTATTATACTGGGGTGAGCAATATCTTCCTGACTAACACGATCACGATCATCAAACCCGTGACAAATATAGTCAAAACTTGACTCGGCACGCGCATGAAATCTGTGTTGTCCTTTCGCCGACAAACAACAATTTCAAGTATTAAAAAGACCTGAACAGCGACCAGCTACCTGAATTATTTGTTCTCTTCTTCTAGCATCATCTGTACCAGCCACTTATTCTGGTGTTCTGCCTGTTCCGTCTAATCAGATTCTTGTAACATCGGCAAAATGGATAGTAAATCTGAAGAGAGGACTAAGGAACACTGCATTAATTCGGGCCACAAACTCAACAAGGAGTTACAAGACAAGTTGGAAGCCCTGAAATCCAGTCCTAAGCCCCCTGAAGACGAACCAGTACCGAAGAAGTTTGATGACGAAGGTTGTTATGGGTACTTCCTCAAGATCGATGAGCAAACTCAGGAACACGAGCTCGAGGATTCTGCAACTTTCAATGATATGTGCGAGGCTCTGGAGTTAGACAAATCTACCCCCCTTCGCCGCACAAGAGTTTGGTCTTGTAAATCCAAAACGCATTATGATTATCTTAACTATGCTGATCATGATGCCACCTTCCCGGAAGGCATCGCACTGGTGACCGAGAACTTCTTTTCAGACGATGGGATCATTGTTGTGAGTAATAAATATATGAAAACAGCGCATCCGATACCTGGTGATCTCAGAATCGAACACTGGAGTCATTTATCAATCCAGGTAATCAAGAAGGTATATTCAGCAGAGTCAAGCGTCCCGGATTTCCGTTTTATTCTCAGCGATCATATCGTCAATACCGATACGAAGAAACGTATTGATAACGCATATCCGGATCCGGAAGCCAAAGTTCCAAAGGGAAAAGTGACCCTTGATCCGTTGAACGAAGCCGATAGCAATACATTCGATTCCATTCTGGGTACTGCGAACGGGGTAGGGGTCGCTTATCTGTTGAAGGATTATCCAAAGACATTCAGGATGAAGATCACAAAAAATCCATACCTTGAAGCTAATAGATCCCAATGATGTAGCTCGCGAGTGGAGATATGCTTTAGCATTCGAACTTGGCGATTCTTAAGTGCATTACAAGGAATAATTTGGCAATTTTATTAAAAGAAGCACTATGCAGCCATTTTGAAGCATACATTCTTTTGGCATCAAGGGAGGTAGTACTGGTTGTGTACGTGCGAGGGGCTTCGGACATTTTGTATGAGGAACGTTTGGAAGCCAGTTTTGTAGCCAATAGCAAGCCTCACTTTTCTTCTTATTGCACTTTGTGTAACTTTGATTACTATCATGGAAAAAGACTAGCTCTTTCCAAGATCATCCTACAAAACCAGTCTTTGATTGCATATTGCAAACGACTTTGTGATATGAAGAGCATGTTCTCTTTGTTCGCCAAGAAAAACATGGACAAAATAGACCATGGAAAAAACAACGTAGAACCTGTGGTGCAGTACCCCCTCCGTAGTCCTAGTCCCTTAGCGAGATATTTTCGTATCTGGCGAGCAGCGTGGGAAATGAATTGAGTTGAGTTGAGTAGTAGCACCTACTCAATTAACTCCAAGTAACTATAAGTAGTATTCGAGTTATCAAGTCGTTTGTTCCCACGCTAAGTTAGAGGGATTTCATAGTCAGAGTTTTAGATTTAACCTGGTACTATATAATTAAGATATTCCAAACTTTATATAAGTTTTTCTTATCTTTTATAGATGTTGTATATAACACGAAATATAATATTTTAATTGGTCAAGTTGAAAACCACTTTACGCGCCCTGGAAACATTCCTCGAGGGATAAGGACCACGGGAGAGATACGTAAAAAGACAGTTAGATTATATATATTCTTCCCTGAGAGGTTACAACTGACTCCTCCCTCTATTTTTGAGTTTTAGATAAAAAGCACATTTCCGCGTTAATTATAATATTTCAGTATTCCTACACACAGTGTCATAAAACAATAAGGGGTTGGAAGCTATCATGAGAAAAATGTCATATGACTTAGATAAGAGGAAATCAAACTAAGTTTACGCGGCGTTACTTGGGTCTTATGGATTAGCATGAAGCCACTTACTTCCGAGTAGTCCTATAGAACATATGCTCCGGTAAAAATAACAAGAGTGCGATAGAACGGGACGCACTGTATATAAAATAGGGGTTGGGGGAAATAAGCGAGACAGGGATATCGCAACCTTATACCGAAACGAGACTTAACTACCATTACTTAACTCAACACTTTGAATAGATCAGAGACTACGTATTAGGGTACAAAGAAAACATTCCAAAAAGAAATAGATATTAATACATAAAAAGACCCCCTTTTACCCTCAGCTATACATCCGACTCCATCCCCAACCACCATAACCGAGATTGAAAACCCATTCCCCCCTATCCAATTTCAACATCCACAAATAAGACACATCCCTCACCTCTCCCTCCCCTTCCCCTTCCACCCCCTCCTAGTATAAAACCCCACCTCTCCAACCC